TTCTTGCTTGGCTTTGCCCTTGGATGATGTGGCTTTGAATGCCACGCTCTTCTTCTTCTCATCCTTCTTCTCATCTTTCTTCTCCTTCTTTTCTTTCTTCTCATCATCATCTCTATAAGTATCATCGGTCATTATATCTCCCAACACTTGGTTTGGTGTCATTGTGTTCAAACCACTTCTCACTAGAATAGTGACCAATGTACCAAATCTTGAGGGTAAGCATCTCAAAAACTTGTGGGAGAAGTCTTTATCCTTCACTTCTTCTCTAAGTGCTTTGATATCATAGATAAGCACTTGAAGCCTATGGAACATCTCCGGCACACTCTCATCATCCTTCATCTTGAAGCTTGCAAACTTTTCTTTGAGAATGTAAGCCTTTGCACCCTTCACGGCTTGAGTGCCCTCAAATGATTCTTTCAACTTCTTTCATGCCTTATGAGCCATCTCAATATTTTTGACTTGCTCAAATGTTCTTTCATCAATTGCATCATGAATAGCACTTAGAGCAATGTCATTGTTTTGGAGAACTACTTCTTCGGCCGCGGTGGGATTCTCCGGATCTTTAATCTCAATTTTTATTTCTACCACCTTCCAAACCTTCCTATTGATTGACTTGATATAAGTTGTCATCTTGGCCTTCTAATAGGGATAGTTGGAGCCATCAAATTGGGGTGGCTTCTTGGTGTTGTTGATTTGAGCTATTTTAACACCGAAGGTTGTTAAGCCTCAAATAACGGTGACATCGGCTCCGATACCACTTGAAAGGTCCTAATGGCTAGAGGGGGGGTGAATAGCCTAATAAAAATTTCTACAACAACACTTAACAAAAGGGTTAGACAATTATGAGGCGAAACAAGTGTTGCGCTAGCCTACTCAAAATGTAAGCCACCTACCACAATTCTAGTTTAGATAGTATCTATTTACACAATAGCTATGACACTACTCTATGTTAGTGTGCTCTCAAAAGCTAACTAAAGAGCCACACCAACCAAGCAAGCAAGCTCTCACAACTAACTACACTAAAGAGCTTAACAACTAGTTTATGGTAATATAAAGAGAGTGATCAAGAAAGTTATACCGCCGTGTAGATGAAGGAACCAATCAATCACAAGAATGAATAACAATGAAGACCAATCACCTCGGAATCAATGATGAATACAATGATTTTTTACCGAGGTTTACTTGCTTGCCGACAAGCTAGTCCTCGTTGTGGCGATTCACTCACTTGGAGGTTCACGCGCTAATTGGCTTCACACGCCAAACCCTCAATAGGGTGCCGTACAACCAACACAAGATGAGGATCACACAAGCCACGAGCAATCCACTAGAGTACATTTTGGCTCTTCGCCGGGGAAAGGTCAAGAACCCCTCACAATCACCACGATCGGAGCCGGAGACAATCACCGCCCTCTGCTCAATGATCCTCGCTGCTCCAAGCCGTCTAGGTGGCGGCAACCACCAAGAGTAACAAGCGAAACCCGCAGCGAAACACGAACACCAAGTGCCTCTAGATGCAATCACTCAAGCAATGCACTTGGATTCACTCACAATCTCACTATGATGATGAATCAATGATGAAGATGAGTGAGAGGGCTTTGGCTAAGCTCACAAGGTTGCTATGTCAATGGAAATGGCCAAAGATATGAGCTATAGCCGGCCATGGGGCTTAAATAGAAGCCCCCACGAAATATAGCCGTTATACCCCTTCATTGGGCATAACGCGGGCTGACCGGACGCTCCGGTCAGTTGACCGGACGCTGAGCCCCCAGCGTTCGGTCGCTCGTAGTCAGCCACGTGTCTGACTCCAACGGTCGTCTGCCTTGCTCGAACGGACGCTCCGGTCAGTTGACCGGACGCTGGACCCTCAGCGTCCGGTCGTTTCCAGTAAGGGTCGGACACAACCCTGCGTCCGGTGCTTAACCCTAAGCGCTGTGCAGGCGACCCAGCGTCCGGTTAATAGACCGACGCCAGCATCTCACTGTTACACATGACCGGACGCGCCGGTCCCTCAGAGGTCCAACGTCCGGTCACTGTATAACCAGCGACACTAACTCGTTTTTACTTCTAACTTCTCCACCCTTGCTCAAATGTGCTAACCACCAAGTGTATCACCTTGTGCACATATGTTAGCATATTTTCATAAATATTTTCAAGGGTGTTAGCACTCCACTAGATCCTAAATGCATATGCAATGAATTAGAGCTTCTAGTGGCACTTTGATAACCGCATTCCGATACGAGTTTCACCCCTCTTAATAGTACGACTATCAACCCTAAATGTGATCACACTCTCTAAGTGTCTTGATCACCAAAACAAAATAGCTCATATGGTTTATACCTTTGCCTTGAGCTTTTTGTTTTTCTCTTTCTTCTTTCCAAGTCCGAGCACTTGATCATTACAATGGCATCATCTTCATCATGCTATGATCTTTGTTTGCTTCACAACTTGGAGTGTGCTACATATCTCATGATCACTTGATAAACTAGGTTAGCACTTAGGGTTTCATCAATTCACCAAAACCAAACTAGAGCTTTCACATGGGAGCTCGGATCCCCCGCGTACCCTCCCCCCATAGACAAACCCTAGAAAATAAAATGAAACCAAACTACAATTGAACGTACAACCTGAACATGAGTTACAAATTTGAGATGACAAAACCACATTCAGATCAAACCAAAAGTAGACCACCACACAAAACAAACAATGAATAAGAGCAAAAGGGGCGCGAGAGAACATAGGTCGACAAAACCTATGAACCGATGGACGGCTAGGGGTTCGAATCCTGGGAGGCGGCGGCGGAGGGGAAGGACAGAAGGGGCATTGGAAGAGTGGCGGCGGGGCGCGGTACGGAGGCAATGAGTAGGGAGAGTTGGGACGTAGGTTAACGAGAACGAACCTAGGGTCACCGAATCCGGCGAGGCGACAGGCGATTACAGCGAGCTGAGATGCAGCACTTGCGAGCGGAAGACGATTCCGGGCTGCTGAGATGGAGATCCGTGGGCGGCGGTCCGGACTCACCTGCAAAACGAGAACGTGGGGGTCAGATTCGGAGGGACAGGGACGACACCGGACGTGTAACCGAGTTTACCTGTCGCCGACGGACGGGCATCGATGGCTCGGGGGAGGGATGCGGAGCAGACGGTCGGCGTGGAAGGCTATCGATGACGACGGATCGCCCTCACGGCGTTGCGAGGCGGGCAGGGACGAATCCGCTTACGGCGGCCGGGGCAGGCACGGCGAAGCGGAGGTCACGGCCGCCGCGGCTAGCGTGGAGGTGAGAGGCTGAGCGGCGCGCGAGCGGAACCCTAGCGGCTATCGGGGGAACAGGATGACGAGAGGGAGTGCGAAGCGGAGCTGAGGATCGGTTAGTAGATCAGCCGTTCGGCTGGTGCTGTGCCACCAAACGGCTATGCTGTTCAACCCAGCCAAAACCAGCCCAGCCAGCCAAAACCAGCCCAGTCAGCCAATTAAGCTCAGCCGAACACACCACAAGTTTCCCAGCGGATCAGGGCCGGGACATGCTTGTATCACAAGTTACCGGTTGATCATTGATGGACAGGCTGAGATCCTTGCGGAGTGAGCTCCTGTCCCGCGTCTCGCCAAGGATTCGACAAGAACGAAAGCCTGGGCAGTGGTGGATTGAACGAATACGGCACCAGCGCCAGCGCGAACAGTGACCGCGATCTTGAAAGGAAGGAGTAGGAGTACGGAGTAGCACTCCACTTCACCGAAGCGTCAAGCAATGAAGCTGCGGCGACTCCATTGGCTGCTCTGCTCATCGCTCCGTGACCTGCGCCTGCTGTGGAGGCAGACGGAGCGGCGGGAAACAGGGCAGGCAGCGCGGCGCGCCACAGCCCACTCCTACAGAGCAGGCAGGCGTAGCCGCGTCCCATTGGCTGCTCTGCTCATCGCTCCGTGACCTGCGCCTGCTGTGGAGGCAGACGGAGCGGCGGGAAACAGGGCAGGCAGCGCGGCGCGCCACAGCCCACTCCTACAGAGCAGGCAGGCGTAGCCGCGTCCCATTGGCTGCTCTGCTCATCGCTCCGTGACCTGCGCCTGCTGTGGAGGCAGACGGAGCGGCGGGAAACAGGGCAGGCAGCGCGGCGCGCCACAGCCCACTCCTACAGAGCAGGCAGGCGTAGCCGCGTCCCATTGGCTGCTCTGCTCATCGCTCCGTGACCTGCGCCTGCTGTGGAGGCAGACGGAGCGGCGGGAAACAGGGCAGGCAGCGCGGCGCGCCACAGCCTACTCCTACAGAGCAGGCAGGCGTAGCCGCGTCGAGGCCTCGAGGGCTCCAGGGCTCGAGAGTACTGTACACTGCAATCGCAATGTGGACCCATCTTGTCGGTGGCCAATGGATGCGTTACTCCTACAATCCTACCCGGCTCCGTCCAGAGCACGTCCTGTACTGTGATTCAGTGACTGCACTGAATTGATCCTACGTTTCCTTTTTCGAGCGCTAATGATGCTTTCCCCCTTTTGAAGCTAATAATGCAATTGCTGTTAAACTGACAAGGCACGCACGGTCGATTTGTCATCCGAGCGTGCGCTTAGTATCTGCATTGCGACAATGAGGCTCTGTGGTTGACAGAACATTGGATGAATGTACGTGGTACGGTGGTAGTAGTCGTAAGTACAACAGCACAACAGAAGATGGATCAAATTGGAGAGCTTAAAATATCCAATTTGGTGTTACAAAGTGGAGTACAAGCACGCTGCAAAAGCGAAGAACCCATGAGGAGATCACCCACTAGCATATAGTATGCACACATTACGCCCAGATCACAGGCTTTCAGGTTTCCGTCTAACTTAATCATGGAATTATCGGCACGCGACGCGACCACAAAAGGTGAAAAAGGAGAACGAACGCTCACGCTCCTCCTCTAATCCACCGCCTTATATAGTTATTAATTAACTAATAATTAATAATAAGTAAAATGATCCCGGCCACATGAGCCCCACTAATCACTTTCCGGCCATCTGGAGGTAAGGTACCTCGCTCACGTCCGCCCCGCCACGCTCGCCGACGACCTGCGGTGCCGGAACGCCTTGAGTGGGCTCGGGAAGTGCCACCCCCACCGCGCCCGCGCTGCCGCGGCTGCGGTCTTCGCCTCCACCGCCGTGGCGGACACGGAGCTGGAGCGCGGCAGCCCCAGCCCCTCGTCCTCGTCCTCCTCCTCCAGCTCCAGCTCCAGCTCCGCGCCCCCCTCCCGCGCCGCGGCCTTCCAGAACGGCGGCCACCCCCAGACCCGCGCCTTCCGCCTCCCGCCGGCCCCGGAGGCGGCGGGCGCCACGGAGCGGGCGGCGAACGCGGCGGAGGAGCCCGTGGCCACGGACCTGGAGCGCGCGATCCGGTGCTCCCGCTCGATGAGGCTGTGGACGCGGCCGACCGCGTCGCCGGAGGCCGAGGAGGAGGACGACGGGGACGCGGCGCAGGCGCACGGCCGCACGTGCGCGCAGTTGGGGCAGAGCCGGAGGAGGCGGTCCCGGAGGCAGTACGGGCACACCCCGCCGCCGGATCTCGCGGCAGGGTGCTTCCGGCACCTCCATTCGTCGCCGCCTCCGCCTCCGCCGACGCCTGCGCCTGCGCCGGCCGGGGCCACCGCTGCCTTCTCCGCCTTCATCGATGCGGCGGTTGCTCGTAGGCTGCTGCTTTGCTTTTCTTTCCTTGGTAGGCTTTGCTCTCTCTGCGCGGGTGTGAGGGGACGGGCGTTACCAGCGTCGCTGTTGAAAAAGAGCAGGGGAACGGCGTGTTGTTTCGGAGCGGGGAAAGTGGGCGTCAACTTACGGGTTATCTACGGGAGTGCCATTGGCAAAGCTGGCGCGCAGTTGCGCGGTGATCTTCAGTGGTTGAAGAGCAACTCCACAAACCGTCCTCGTACAATTGTTTAACTTTGGTTGCGTCCCGTTGACTATTTTTCCTCCTTTCCTTTATTTCTAGTACGTGTAAGTTTGTAACAAGGGAGAAGCTGCCGGCGAACGAAACGAACGTGCGTGCAACAGATTGAGCCTGAGATCCACGCACGGGGCACAGGAGACAGCAGCAGCCGTGCTCAATGTTTCTTCACAGAATCACAGCTGGGAATAGGGTCACCACGTCGTTACGGTCACAGCACAGAGGATCCCGGCTCGGGGTCGACAGATAAGGCTGCCGCCGCACGTGCGGGGCGGCAATGAGCCGTGTGGGGGACAGCAACGAGGGGACCGCATGTCGGTCTTGACGTCGTCACCGAGACGCCTGGCACGTGGCCTGGACCCTTTTTCGTTCCTTCAGACGGTCTCTGGTAACCACGAACCAAAATACAAGATAAGATTTATTTGATAGTGCTACGATCAAAAAATTTAATACATATTTTTGCTCCTCTTCAATAATAAAATCCAAAAAATAACTCTTATATAGATGGATCTATAGAAAAGATGATATTTAGATTTGGATTATGCTTCTCTAATATCTAAAATGGTTATTCCACGTAAGGACTCCGTTCAAGTATATATATATTATATTGAGACTTCTTCCATTCTTTTATGCTTTGCTGCCCCGTCCCCGAGAGGACTGCGAGCTGCAGGCGTACAGACTACAGCGCGCTGCCCGCTTGCTGGTTTTCTCGTTGGTGTCGTGCCGTGTCTACTGTCACACGCACGCGAGCGCGGTGCGGCCGCGATGTCAACGAATGTACCGCACGTGCGCTTGACAATTCTCGGACGAACGAGCCGTTCTCTGTGTGGCTCGGCGTCTCGGCAAGTCAAAATTCAAACTCGGATTTTATCGGGGAACTGGGATTAGTTCCTTAGGCCGGTCTCAATAGCTATTTTACAGGAGTTTCATGCATATTAAATGAGATGCATCCTCGTTCATTTGATTTTTGGTTGCCGTACCCTCTTCTTTGCCATGAACTGAATTCGTCACTTCAGCTTGTTTGCTGCAGCAGTTTGCCCATGTCCACCAACTGTTCGTTGTTTTGCCTAGGACTTTTTTTTTTGCAGCACAGTATCTGTCAGTCTGATTGTTTCCAACGACTGAAAAACGCATGGACTGATCTATGTTTTTTCATCTGTTTTTTTCTACATATAGCCTACTATTTTTTTATTTTGACTGTTAAAATTAGTTTGTCAAGTAATTGTGGTAGAATTCTGACTGTGATAGGATTTTGTTCATTGTCATTTGAACGAGAATACATTCTGCACTGTAGAAAACAATTGAATCGCAAGTGGCTACATAAAACATATGGTACAGTTGATCACAACACCATGCATACATTAATTGCAAAGCTTGTCTATGAAATCGTGCAATGAAACTTCCCACTCACGAAGTCAGGCCTCGTTTGGATTGCAAGTTTTTTCACTCTCTCTTCATCACATTAAATCTTTGGACATATGCATGGAGTATTAAATATAGATAAAAAAATAACTAATTATACAGTTTGATTGTAAATTACGAGACGAATCTTTTGAGCCTAGTTAAGACCATGATTGGACAATAATTGTCAAATACAAACAAAAGTGCTACAATGCTAAATACTGATTCCTAACCCTAATCTAAATAAGACCTCAGTTTCATTTGTTCATCTAAATCTGCAAAGCTGCTGATGTGTCAGCTTTGGAAACAGTGAAATGAAATTTCCATCGAGACTCACCCTAGGGCCGTAACATAAGTTGCCAATTAAATGCAGTTCTGCCTGTTCGATGGCGTCAAGCTATGACAACACCAGTGCTTCTTTCGCCGGCCGCGCGCGGCATGCGTGCACGCACGTCCGTGCAAAAATCAGTGCACGTCCGTAGGGTGGAGTACAAGTAGTAACTTCGTCATTTTGGGAAAGAGATTCTTTGCCCGGTGTCCGGACAAACGCCACCATAATCGATTATCCGAGGGAATATAATAGCATCTTCAAAAGTTTTTGTTCTAAAATTTACTCTTTAATAAATAAATAAATTATTTAGAGAGTTATTTAAATAAAAATTATTTTATATCTTTGTACTCTCAAATGGTTTTTGTATATCTTGTGCGTATTTCAGAGAATCATCTTCGCTTTTCAATATTTGGCTAACAAGAAATCCGGAATAGATGACGTCTGCACTTAGCAATCCAGTTAAAAAGATTGTTTGAGGTTTTTTCTGCCAAAATCTTTATCTATTACTATAGATTAGGAAGTACATAGGGAGCCTTTTAGAGTTCTCTAAATGACACTTGCTAATGCCAAGTTAGACAGCCTATAACGGATTCCGTGGTGCGCAGTGCGGAACAATTAGCAAATTCATCAAGATTTCAGGGCCACTCTACTCCAGTGTCCAGCCAAGCAAATCCACGTGCAGACATGCCTTTCGAGTCACGCAAAATCTTTTTGGGGTCTAGGGGGCCTTGGAGGAAATCCCATTGTCGAATGGGCTATCAGCGTGCTCGTCATGATTGGATCCTGCCTCCAACGAAATTATCCAAATAGTCTTAGATGATGTTTGGGGATGTTGAAAGTTCGGTCACTAGCTACTGAACTTGTTCAAAAAAAAAAAAGAGAAGGTAAAAAAAAAACAGCAACGTTCCAGCTGTGTCTTCTTCAAAATGCATTGTTAAACAATATACGTACTACCAACGAGACCGAAAAAAACACGGTAACACATGTAGGGACTGTTCGCTTGAGGAAGTATGGAGGAATTTGGATGGTTTGGAGGAATGCTAGAGAAATTTGTGAAAAAAAATACTATTCCAGATAAAAAAAAAAGCGGATCAAGCCTGCAGGCTTAAACACGTGAACGGGGCGTACAAGATTCTATTTCGTTCGTTCCTAACTACTCGCAGTGCGCAGCTCAAAAAGTAGAAGGCACATCACACGCCAGCGCATGCAACCACCAAGCCCAAACAAAGCCCGTGTTTATAGTTGGATAAAAGTTGGAAATTTGGCTACTGTAGCACTTTTATTTTTATTTGTTAATTAATGTTTAATCATGAATTAATTAGGATTAAAACGTTCGTCTCGTAATTTTCAACCAAATTGTACAATTAGTTTTTTTTCGTCTACATTTAATGCTCCATGCATGTATCATAAGATTCGATGAAAAGTTTTCGCGAACTAAAACACAACGTGGACACGGTGGCGGCGGCACACGGGCACCGGGCCACGTACGACTACGGTCCGGATCCCGTCCTCCACTATGAGCCGCGTAGCCTGTTCGTTTGGCTGTGGCTTGTCGTAAACGATCGTAAATTTCTAGCCGGAACAGTATTTTTCTTTCACACAAACCAGTCAGCAGTACTTCTTCACGAACCAGCAACGAAACGAACCAGCCAACCGAACAGGCTGCGAGCAGTATCCCGCCGACGGCGACGGCGACGGCGATCAATTAGTCTTAGTCTAATCTAATCCCGGCTCCCCTCGACGGCCAGTACTTTAGTGGAGGTCTTAGTCTCGCTGTCACGTTGTTGCTCCGCGTTAATTATTAAGCTCTCGTGGAAGAGCTAGGTAGGTGAGCTACTTAACGAACTAACTGCACTGCACGGCACTTGATGATTAGGTGGAGAACTGGAGAGAGCAGTCGCTTCCAAGCACTATATAATCGCTTTTGATATACGTACGAAATTTTAGAGGCTGGTAGATCCTGTAGGCTCTTAGCTCCCGTCTACAGTATGAAACATGAACGTGGTGGTCTGGTGGACACTGGACTGGACGGCACAGCTTCTGCGCATCTGAGGCAGGCAGTAACGTTGCTCCGATGGGAGAAACGATCATGGGTGCTTAGTTACCGGTCACAGGCAAAAACCACCGGAGAGAAGAACTAATACTACTACTTGCCTCTGCTGTCACCATCAGGGAAGTTAATGACCGGGAGCTCTGAGCAGAGACCGGTGACAAACTGAACCTGCAAGCAACAAAACCACAACTGGAGCGTAAACTGACTTCAGAGACAAGATGGACTGTGCAAAGGCGGGTGGAACGCCAGCTCGGGACATTCCATTCCGTCTGCCGCTGAGAGGCAAACATATGCAAACAAGAAACGTGCAGTTGGAAACCATTTCGTACTTCATCCGGAATTGGACGTCTAACAGCTGCACTGTGCACTACGGCGGAACCAACAATTAAGCGAGCCGGACAAACACAATAATAACTTATAAGTGCGATAAGTATATATATAAGTATATATCTCAATAATTTATTTTTTATACTTTTACATATGTAGTAAGTGTTTATAACGTTCAAATCACAATATTACAATAAAACATAAGCAAATGGGCAAAATATGCTTTGGACTGTAATATGTAATATTTATATGAGTATTAAAAACATTTCATTGTTCGACGCGCACGCAGGGAGGGGGGGGGGCGGTAAAAGGTTTTGACGATGGAACTATAACAGGATAGGCAAGGCACGGACGATGCGAACTGTTATAAAAACTTGACTCTTAGGCACAGCCTCACCGAGATATTTCATTAAAGAAGCTTAAAAGGAAATCTCCTGACCACTAAATACCCTGTTCGCTTGACTGATAAGCCATGACTAAAAGTACTATTGGCTTATAAGCCAAACGAAAAGCACTCCTACGTCCTGTAGCTGTAGCTCACGCAATAGCTCTCCTACTACTAGTGTGGTCCAATTCTTTTTTATTTTTTTTTCTTGTTTCGTTTCTTTTTATTTTTTTTTTTCTGTGGTGTTTTTTCTTCTCTTTATTTTATTTATATTTTTTATCTCTCATTAATTTCCTTTTTACTTTACTGTAATTAATTATTTTCTTTATTTCTCTATTTTCTTGGATCTTACAATACCTAGAGGGCGGGGGGAGGAGTGAACAATCGTATCTAAAAATTTTACAACACAAACTAAAGTTCAATGTCAGCATCTGTCGGAAGTCCCGACCGTTTGGACCAGAACTTCCGACGGCCGGAAGTTCGAATTAACTGGCCGGGAGTTCCGACTCCTACATGAACTACGAAATTAGTGACAAAATGAACTTTGAGAATGAAATAGCTCACAACCCCACTTCCTAGTGGATTAGGTAAAGATGTAGGGTCACTCCCTTGGCGTCGAAATGCCTCCACTCCGTAGATCAAGTTCAAACCCTAAGAAATAGCTAGAGAGGGAAAGAGACAACCAATAACAAGTGATTTCAGACAATTCACAACAACAACAAGCACGCGTGATACAACGATTTATCCCGAGGTTCGACAACCCCACAAAGGAGCTCCTACATCATTGTTGTTCAAGTGACCACTAAGGTCAGAGTCTCTTCTACCTCCTTGCCTCTCTCAAGGAAACCAGAAAGATCACTTGAGTTCTTCACTAGAAATCAAGGGTAATACAAACTTTTCAAATCTCTTCCACAAGATGGAAGCTCTTGGGCGACGCCTAACCGGCTAGGGGCAAAGCCCCAAGAGTAACAAATGCAAACCTAACCGGCTTGACGAAAAAATCAAGTGCTCAAGCTTGCTTAGACGATTTTCTCACTCAATCCACTATCTCTTTACTCAAATCCTTGAAGGAATCGAAGTTTTGGAGCAAAGGAGAGATGAAAGGGGAGCCTTGAATACTTGGGAGCTGTTTTGGCCAAAGTTAGGTCATGAGTAATGAGTGAGTAACGGTTAGAAGAGAGGTATTTATACTTCTTGGCAAATTCTAACCGTTCGGATCTGCATCGGAAGTTCTGATGGTCGGTCGGAACTTCCGACACCTATATTTACATACGGTCAACAGCAACGTCAGGAAAAAATGGGCGAACACGGCGAATGCCGGAACTCCTGACGGCTGCCGGAACTTCCAACGAATGTCGGGAATTCCGACGCGCTGCCAGTAGACAAGCAACCTGGCGGCTAAGTCTGCAAGCGCCAGGACTTCGAGCCCTTGCCGGGACTTCTGACTCCTGAAACTCCCGAGACGCGTCGAAAGTTTCAACGACCTCAGTCTCAGGAAATTGATTCTATGTGTTCGTAAAGTGCTAGAGTGTCTCTCTTTTGATTTTAATTTTATGCTTGAGTACTCTATCTTTCTTCGGCCACCTAAACTTGCATCCCTCTTTATAGTACGATAAACATAAACTCAAAAGCATAAAATAAGTACGAGAAGATCGTTTGAGTTCGTCCACCTTTTAAACTTCAAGAATTGAGGGAATTTATTTCATCCAAAACATCAACTTAATTCTTTCATGGGACTTAAAGCTGCAATATATCTCATAGATGCTTATAGTCCCTAATTTGGATGTCATTAATACACCAATTCCCACAACGGGGGCAAATGCACTTTCATCTTGCTTTTGTTTCTTTTTAATTTACCTATTTTTAATGTTTATTTTCATTTTTATTTTTAAATTTTCTTCATCTCATATGTTTCATAAGATACAAATATACCGGTAAGACTAATCTTGCAGTGAGATTTAGGGTTGTTGAATTTACTTGAGATTTAGTAATGTTGAATTGTTGATGATGACTTAGCTCATCATATGTACATGGGCAACATGAACCTGAAATCCTGAAAACACATACACAAGAAAATAAGACCACAGTGAGTGTGCACCGGGCACTTTATTAAGACATGGAAGCTTAAAAACCTCAATGCTCAGATAATAGATTAATCCACCTCATCCATTAGAAACAAGCGCCACTCTGTTTCGTATTCTTTAATGATTTTCTCTGAGACTTTTTGCCACCAAATGCAACCATGTTATATATGTACTCGACCACATCGGCCATCCTTCTAAATTTTCTCCTTGGTATCAGATGTAAAATGATTAATGTTCTCATCTTTTATGGTTGACCAAAGCTTGAACTGAAATGTCCATTGATCTATGAAGACAACATCTGTGGCCAAGTGACAACCATAGACTGCTCTTCTTAATACGCCAGGTTTCGCTAGCACGACAAGGTAGCATAATGACTGTAGACCTTGCTCGTCCTACATAATCACATATTAAATCAAATTTGGGAACAGAGAATGGTTCAAAAGGTAGCATTCAGTCATTGAAGATTTCAAGTATACCAACAAGATTAAGGAACAGAGAATGAGTTCAGAAGGTTTTCTGCTACATGCTTTCATACTATATTTGGGAAAATTATCTTGCTTTTGTAATAATATAGAAAGGGAAGATCACGTGCCACACATCACGATGCTAACTCAGATAATCAAGCATAGCAGCTATTGTAGGCTGGTGAAGGGGAGAGTTTGTGAGCAAGGCATACTAAAAAAAAACTTCGGGCGGGGTGGGGGTTTAAGACTGTCCCCATGACATTACAAATAAGAATAAGGACCTTCTCACCCGGCCGAGAAAACCCCCGAACCCCCGCCCCCACCCTTACACGGTGGCTTTCCGTCGCCCAAGTGAGAATTGGGCCGGTGCCCCCCCAGTGCTTTGGTTATGGTGATAGACGAGGGGATTTTTTTAACCTCAGCCTGAAATTCGCTCCCACGGGGAGTCGAACCTAGGACCTGAAGAGTGCCGCTGGGTCACCTAACCGTTTGAGCTAGGCGCCCTTTGGCTAAGCAAGGCATACTTGTGGTCACCATTTCACTAGCTCATTTATTGTGGTTTAGTCTTTGCGTTTCTCTCACAGTTTGGGACCATCCTCGGAGATCTTTCAACTCTATGGCCGAAGGTTTCGAGGATGGTTTGTATCCCAACACCTGAAGGTAGGAACAAAAGTCATTTGTTTAGTAGGGACAATTTATCCTTATCTCCAAATGACCATAGAATAATTGTAATAACATCACATTTTGGTTAGAAAATTCTATAAAAATGCATCACAATAGGTTTTTTGTTTATAATTATTCCATAAAATTACAAATAATTTTAACAAAGTTGTATTATACATCGTTCATAATAGATATATTTCTTAAATAGTTATATGTAAAAATGTGAGAGATGTATTATTTTGAACAATACATTGTTCCACTTTATTAAAATCAACTGAATTTTTTATGGAAAACATATGGGCCCAAGATATGTTACCATGTCAAATTGCATAATTTCCTGACCAAATTTAGATATTATTACAATAATTTTTTTGTGATTTTGACATAGAAGATTGAATTATCTCTTGTAAAAAATTGAATGCTTCATCTATCTCTGGCGCATGAGCTATAGTGAATTGTATGAGCCTAAATATAGTTTTAATGTAAAATTTTCAAATCTTGTTAGAGGCACACGTAGTTCTATTTGGAACTACTTTCAATAAACAAGTTGACATTTATTTAAACTATAGAAAATAGTAAATTAGTTCCAAATTTTTTAAAGCTTCTATGCAACAACATATATATAGTAAAATTCATGTAAAAAATGTTTAGGTACATGAAATAATCTTACAATATTACTTCACAAGTACGGAGTAAGCCTAAATTAGTAAAAAAAACAGTAAAAGGGTGAACAACCTCAGCCCAAAGGCCCAGCCCAAGGCCTAGTAAGTAGTAACCCCATCTCCAGCAATCCAACTCAGCTTCAATCGATCGTCGGATCAAATTCGATCGAGAATCAACTCGCTTTTCACTCTCGCTGCCTCGCATCTCCCCCACCCCTCCCCCATTCACCAATCACCACCACTGAGATCCAGTCCATCCAGCAACTCCCTCGTCTGGGTGCGAGCAACTCTGCATCGGTCGAGTTAAAAAAAAACAGAACAAAAAAAACCTCTGCACCGGTCACTCCAAAGTCCAAACTCCGGATCTCTGGCGGACATCAAGGACGTGCTGGGCCCGGCCACAGTACGTCCGTCTTCAGCGGCGCACGCCACCTGTTCGACGGAGCGCATGGCCGAGACCAGAGCGCCTCCCATGGCGAGAGGGGCTGATCGAATCAGTGACCTCCCGGAGGGGGTCCTTCACCACATCCTCTCGCTGCTGCCGGCGCAGGATGCGGTGCGCACGTGCGTTCTCGCCCAGAGCTGGCGCAACCACTGGCGGTCCGCGCCCGCCATCCGCTTCGCCTGCTCCACTGGCTTGGCCGGCGGCGTCGACACCTTCGGCCCCTTTGTCGACGGCCTGCTGCGTGGCCGCCGCAGGGGCTCGCCCCTGGACTCCTGCGACTTCGATCTGGATCTTGACGGGTCCGACGTCCCCAGATTGGAGCTGCACGGCAACTGCTGGATCCGGCGCGTGCTGCAGCTCAAGGCCCGGGAGCTCCGGTTCCAAGTCTTCGCCGACCCTCGGTCAGCATAAGCACGTGAAATGTCGTTGCTACCCCTGCCTTGCTCCTCTCTCTCCATCCCCGACAACTGGGTCCCGCGCCGCCTGTCACTGTCAGGTGGGCCCCACTGTTAGAATCATGGTGTACCTCTAGAAGTAGATTCGGGGTAAAGCCTCTTTCTTAGATGGGGAAACGGTTGATGTACCTCGCCTTAGGTCATCGTTCGGCGCTTGTGCGGCGCTGGACGCCCAGAAAGCGCACTCTTCCGCGGTGGAGTCCGTAGTTGTGGTGAGAGGTCCGCATGGCGGCGGTGAGTCGGTGGGCTTCCGTCGTGGCGAGACTTCGCTTTAGATCGGGTTAGGTTTACTGTGGGTGGGATTATAGCGGCTCTGGTCAACTTCGTTATCCGAGCTCAGTTTCCCACTCCTCTATTTATAGTGTTGTGCGACAGGGGCCCACAAACTATATTAGGGTTGGACGCCTCCGATCAGGGCGCAGATCCAAGGGCCCAATATGGTGGAGATCAACAAACATTCTCCCCCTTGATCTCATTACTATTTTTCAATTTCATATCATTTACTTTTGTTCATTCCATTACAGATTAGCGCATAGAGTATATCTCATCATTTACTTTGGGTGATAAGCCTTTTGTAAGCGGATCCGCGAGCATCTTTTCTTTACTTATATGTTCAAGACTTTATGACATGATCCCGGATTTTATCTTTCACAACAATATACTTTATGTCAATGTGTTTGGCAGCATCACTTGACTTATTGTTGTGAGCATACTGTACTGCCTGATTATTATCGCAATATAACTCTAGTGGTCTATAGATGTCGTCAACCACCTTCAAAACCGGGTATGAACTTCTTTAGCCAGTTCACCTGCCCCGTTGCCTCATAACACGCTACAAAACCGTCATACATTGTGGATGATGTAGTGATGGTTTGCTTTAAACTTTTTCATAAAATAGTTCCCCCTGCGAGAGTAAATACATATCCAGACGTGAATTTTCTATCATCTCCCGCATAATCAGAATATGAATATCCCACTATATGGAGTGAATTAGATCTTCTATACGTCATCATGAGGCTTTTGTTTCTTGCAAATAATGCAAGACTTTCTTTACCAATTTCCATTGTTCTGTTCCAGGATTGCTCTGAAATCTGCCAAGTAACCCGGTAACAAATGCTAAGTCAGGACGTGTACATACTTGAGCATATTGCAACATTCCGACAGCTGAAGCATATGGAACCACTTTCATTTGATCAATCTCATATTGGTTCCTGGGGCATTGAAAATCACTATATCTGTCGCCCTTGACTATAGGAGCAGGTAAGGGATTACATTTGTGCATACTGAATTTTTTTAAGATTCTTTCTATGTATGCCTTTTGTGACAGTACTAATACCCCTTTACTTCTATCTCGGTGAATCTCGATCCCTAGAATGAACGAAGGTTCACCAAGATCTTTCATATCAAATTTTGACAAAACCTCTTTGTCTCTAGCAGTAGCTGACATCACTACTAGCACGTAAGATATCATCCATATACAAGACAAGGAAGATAAAATTTCCATTCTTAAACTTTCCATAGACATAATTGTCCTCTATATTCTCTTTAAACCCGAAATTCTTTATTGTCTGATCAAACTTCAAGTACCACTATCTTGAAGCTTGTTTTAATTCATAAATGGATTTCTTTAGGTGGCATCCCATTTGTTCTTTTCCTTCCACGATAAAACCCTTCAGTTGTGCCATGTAAACATTTTTCTCCATGTCCCCGTTGAGAAATGTCGTCTTTACATCCAGCTGATGTAATTCTAAATCGTAACGTGCCACTAATGCCATTATGATTATGAAGGAATCCTTACATGACACTGGAAAAAAGGTCTCATTGTAACCAATTCCTTCTCTTTGCGTAAAGCCTTTTGCCACAAGTTACACTTTATATCTCTCTATATTCCTTTGGGAGTCAAGTTTTATTTTGTAGACCTATTTATAGCCTACTGTTTTGGTTCCTTTAAGAATTATCTTTAAATCATAAACTTTATTGGCATTCATAGATTTCATTTCATCTTCCATGGCCTCAAGCCACTTTGATGAATGATCACTTTTCATGGCTTATTCAAATGAGGTGGGATCATCCTTCATTTGAAATTCCTCAGTGTTGTATACTTCATTGTCAGCAGAAATAGCTGATTTTCTAACCCTTTAAGACCTTCTAGGGTCTCCACATTTGGCACATCTTCTGTTTGAGGCTGTTGTTGCTCCCCTTATGTGTGGCAATAGGTTCTATAGGATCCTAAAGAACAAGTTTCTTATCATCATTCATTGTTGCCACAGGCGTAATAACAACAGGTGCCGACACCACAGTATCTGACACTATCGGTGCAACGACAGCAAGTAGTGAGAAAAATAGCTCATGAATCATTGGAGTGGGCGCATACACCCGTTGGACAGAAATAGAATTAATGCATAAAATCATTAAATTACGATATTGTTATTAACAACGTTAGTCAGAAAATAACAACGTCATAATCATGTCAAAATCTCTTTTTCTTCAATTAAATATCACGTTGGTTCAAAATAACTGGAGAATAAACAATTTCTTTAGCAGCGAAAAAACTCTCTTTTTCTCCAATTAAATATCACTTTGGTTCAAAATAACTGGAGAATAAACAATTTCTTTAGCAGCGGAAAAACTCTCTTTTTCTCCAATTAAATATCACGTTGGTTCAAAATAACTGGAGAATAAACAATTTCTTTAGCAGCGAAAAACGTATACTCAATTTCTTGAATTTTACCCACAGGGAAAATTGCTTTTTCTATTTTCTTTAAGCCATTAATCAATTTCCAGGAATTAAACATTTACTGAAAAAAGAAAAAAGGAAAACTGATTCAATTCAGCACTATTCCTTCGGCCTAGCTGCAAAAAACGACTCGCCCACTTCTTCACAGACGACTGCGGCCGCACTCCAGAGCATAACCTAGGCTGGCTAGTAAAGCTTTCGGCCGACGCACGCGCACTTTGGGCCGCATGAGTTGGCTGATTCTTCCATGGCCGTCAGATCTCATCCGACGGCCGTCCGATCATTTCGACCGAACAAAAACCTTCTCCAGTCGCGGTCCCCGAACCCTAGAGGTCATTCGGCCCTTTCCTCTCTCTCTGCGCCACGTTCCTGTCTTCTCCTCTCAGCGCAGCAAGCAGCAGCAGCAACCGAGAGAGAAGACGATGGAGCGGGCGGGCAGCCATGGCACCATCACCGACCCCCTCGCCGGCGTGCACCCTTGCCGAAGGCCCGGTTGCCTGGCGCCCTTGGCCGAGCCCGGTAAACAGCCCCCGACTCGGTCTTCTTCTCCCACGCCCAAGAAAAGGTCAACTTGGACGCATGGCGAGGTATGTCTCTTTCCTCTTCTTCCCCGTCCCCTTCTCTCTTCTGGGATTAACCCGTGGTGGGGATGGGGTTTAGATCTAGGTTAGGGTTCGGAATCCGACCCACTGTTCTTGTTGGATTGAACCGATTTGGGGATCTAGGGTTAGGGTTTCTTTCCCCGATTCGATTTGTGAGATTCGGTTCACCATTTTAACTTGATTTCCTTTCTTTTCTATTTGTACCGAAACATTTTCTTCCCTTCCTCGTCGTGAGTTAGGGTTAGGGTTTTTTTCTCCGTTCCTTTCTCTTTTCTGTGTTTCACCCGATTAGGGTTAGGGTTAGGATAACCCTCTTTCTTCTCAGATCTGAACGGGATCATTTCTTTTCTTGCCGTGCGCCGGCGATGACGGTGGTGTAGCATCTTTCCCCGCTCGGTGGCGGTGGTGACCGGGAGTTGGGTGATATCCGCCATTCCCGGTCTCTTTTCTGTTTGCTCTTACCCTGTTAGGGTTAGTGTTTCAATCCAAAAACGGATTGGACCCTTGTTCTCTTTGATTTCTTTTTAATGCTCTACCCCATACTTTAACCTTGGCTGGCCTATTGGTGGAGATCAACTAACACCCACTAGTCAGCTTTGTCTTCCAGCTCCAGCACCTGGATGGGAGACAGCCGACAGGTCACGCTCCTCCGTCCGCGCGCAGGAGCACCACTAGGCGCCGCTCGCCATGGCCAGAGCTCCATCGCCCAGCACCTGGATGTGGCACGCACCACAGGCTCGCCACGACCTTCACGCCCACCGGCCTTTGCTCCCCATGCGAGCTCCCAGCCAGTGAGCCACCACCTCGGCCTCCCTCTCCATGCGCTCGCGAGGCCACGGCGGAGTTTGTCGCGTGCGCGGCTTGCTGAGGGCGGCGGGCGGAGCTGCCGCCGTGACGCTGCGCCGACGAGGCCACAGGGGGAACCATTGGGGAGCAAAGCCGCCGACGAAGCGTGAATCGCCCGCGCTTCTCCTCCGTCTCCTCCTTGGTCTTGAAGTTGGACTCACGCTTATTCTCCTTGAGCGACGGGCCCTCGGTGTCCGGTAGCCCATCGATCGCCATTGCTAGCCGCTTCGCCATGGTGAAGATCGCTTCCGGTTGCATTTTCTCGTCGGTCGCGAACACTACAAACAAAGCTAGCAAACAATTGCAAGTTAGGATCGGAGGCCCGTCTCGATTCGGACGACGATCGAGGGTGGCTTGGCCTTAGCTACATACCTAGGAGGTTTCGGACACGGTGGCGTCGAGAATCTGTCGTCGCCGACGGCTGGATGAAGGTGGGCCCCGGTGACGGCGCGCCTCCTTCGGCCGGTGACGAGCATGACGATGCCCTTGTTGTTGCCCTCCTCAATCGTGGGGTACCACTTCTCCGAGGACTTGGTCCGCGGATTAACGAACAGCGTCGGCTTTTGCTTGCGACACTTGATCCATGGGTCGTTGATCGGCCTAGCAACGACATCAGATGACTGCGGCGGCGGCATGGATGCATGCCGGTTTGCAATTGCAATGCCGGCGGGCGGCGACGTATTTTGAGCTTGCGGACGGTGATGAAGTTGAGGTGGATGTTCTTGTGGGCCTCGAGGTCGCGGGCCAGCCGCTTGACGCCGGACTTGGTGACGCTTGCTCAAGACGTCATTGAGTCCACAGGGCCCCTGCTGTTCAAAGACGTCGAACTCCGACGCCACCGGCGGGCGCTGTGTGCTGTGGCTGATGGCGATGGCTGGCCGTAGCGACAAGGCCACCGCCAAAGCCGTAGTGCTTGGAAGACTGTTGACTAGTGGGGCCCACGGCGTGATAAAAGTGCCGCAGGACCTAGCTGTCGGGGACGGAGAGAGAGGAGCAAGGCAGGGGCAGCAACAACATTTCAGGTGCTCATGCTGACTAGGCGCCAGCGTGTCGAGCTAGCGTGGCATGCCACATGCGCAAAAGTAGTAAATCTATAACTAAAACTTCTCTCATCTGGTAAAGTTGTAAGTGTCATTCTAAGAGTGATATTCGGATGAGTGCCAATCTTTATAATGGTAAAAATATAAAAGCCCCCTTGGGTGATTGTGGAAGTGCTGCCTGTAGGGGTTGTTTTAATTACTATGGTCCTGATGATTCGGGCAGCGTGTTTCTTGAAGGCTTGGCTGAAGCTACATACTTGAATTTGTCAGCTTATCCTGATATGGTATGCTTGCATCTGCGTCCCCTGTTTTTGGTTTTGCAATTGTGTTGACATACATAGCTGTGTTTCACTTGTTCCTTTCAAATGCTCTGATTTCAATCAAACATCACCTGTGGTTCGTTGACGAGTGCCTTGCTAGATGCCTATATCATTTGGTCATTACTGAAAATTGTGTTCTTCTGCAGTTACTGATATTGTTGAACTAAAAATGAGAGACCTAGTTATTGATTTGTGGTCTTAGATTCAGAATGCGTTGCTCAGATTAGAAAACAGCGGAATGTTTTTGTATATATTAGTTTAGATGCACCTCTACAAAAGATGCCAGTCTAAACCTTTTTTTTTTTTTGCTTGCCTTACTAACCAGTAGTTATGGTGGTATGGCGGGAGACTTTGGAGTTCAAAGGTTTTAGACTCAGTAAAACTAAAACTGAGTATATAAAATGTGACTTCGGCACTACTACTCAGGAGGAGGAAGATATTAGTTTGGAAGGTCAAGTAGTGCCTAGGAAGGATACCTTTCGATATTTATGATCAATGCTACAGAGAGATGGGGATATTGATGAAGATGTTAGCCATATAATCAAAGCAGAGTGGATGAAGTGGCACCAGGCATCTGGTGTCCTATGTGACAAAAGGGTACCACAGAAGTTAAAAGGCAAATTTTATAGGACGGCGATTAGACCTGCTATGTTGTATGGTGTAGAATGTTGGCCTACGAAAAGACGACATGTTCAACAGATAAGTGTCGCGGAAATACGTATGTTGCGTTGGATTTTGCGGTCATACAAGAAGGGATCGAGTTCGGAACGATGATATACGTGATAGATTAGGGGTAGCACCAATTGAAGAAAAGCTTGTCCAACACCGGTTGAGATGGTTTGGACATGTCCAACGGAGACCTCCAGAGGCACCGGTGCGTAGTGGAATCCTAAGCCAGGATAGTAACGTGAAAAGAGGTAGAGGAAGACTGAAGTTGACTTGGGTAGAGGCAATAAAAGGAGACTTGAAAGGATGGAATATACCCAAAGACTTTGTTTTAGATAGGAGTGCTTGAAAAACAGCTATTCACGTGTATGAATCTTGATGGCTTCTGCTAGATTTCAGCTATAGCCTACCCCAACTTGTTGGGACTTAAAGGCTTTATTGTTATTGCTGCTTGCCTTACTAACCAAGATATGATTGAAGCTTGAAATTTTTTTCATGCTATTCATTATTTGACTTTACATCCTTGTACTTTTCCTAGTATGTTTTCAACAGGGATTTGGAATGGTGGCCTGCATTTAACAAGTTAAAGACTTTGGTGCTTAGCAAATGGTTTCTGTCTACTGAGCTCAGTGCACTGATTTGGTTCCTCCACCACACCCCTCTTCTGGAGAAGCTTACACTTAAAATTTCAAAGGTGCTGTCATTAACTTGTTACTCTGTACCATGTATCTATCCTTTATTTTGCTTTTGTTTATTAATTGAGTAAATTATTCATACTTAGAATTTCAAAGGTGCTGTCATTAACTTGTTACTCTGTACCACGTATATATCCTTTATTTTGCTTTTGTTTCTTAATTGAGTAAATTATTCATTTGCTTCAGGCACGCAAGCCTGTAATGAAAACAGAGGGAAGTTACAATCCATTGGAAAAATCGATTGCACCTAGCCATCTTCAGATTGTTGAAATCATATGCAAAGATGTTGATGGGATATAACTCAAAGTTTTGAATGTCTTGAATGCTAATGGCACACCACTGGGGAAAATCAGAATTCAGTCTTCAGGTCGTAAGTTATCTATGAACTGTCATGATTCTTTTGTGCAGTTATTAATATGTGTTACAAAACAAAGTGTTATCAGTAATTAAACTATGTGTGTTCTGATTTATCACAATTTACGTTATCGCATTTTGCATTAAGTAGTTGATATTTACAATTCGTGTACATCATTAGACTATCACTATCATCTGCAACTGTTGTGAATGCTCTTCTGCTGCTTCTTATATAATATGCAAGCATTTATGTTGGCAAGCATAGACCTCTATACAGTCCATTTTGATTGAATTTGCTGCCATCAGGTCCTCATTATACAAATAAACATGTATAACCCTGATTCTATATTGAAGATATGCTTCTCCTTCTGTGTCGAAAATATGATTTTTGTCTTGCCATTGTATTTACATTACATCTTGAATGTGTGCCAGTTCATTATATTTGTGCATATATGCTCTTTAGAAACTGGACATATGAAAACCACATCAATATTGTCTCAACATCATCTAGTTTTCTGATCTTCAAACATACAGGTCCAAGTGTGGCTCTTATTATTAGAGACGACTTTCTGTATTTATGAAATGCTTCACATGTCCAATTTTGTTTAATTAATTTATACAATTTTTTCTCTCCAGGTTAATTGTTCTTTTCTTTCCCCTTATCTCTTACAGGTTATAATTTTGTTTGTACTGATAACAACTCCAATTAGAAGTGAGAAGTACCAGGCTATTGATGACCCTAGTAGATTGTTAAAGGTAAATGGAACATTGGAACATTTATGCAGTTGTGTTTTCTGACTTTGTCTATTGGAACCTCATGCCCTGTTATGCCAGTGTAGTTTACCTTGCATCACAAATTAGTTGCATCACATTTGGTTAATGACTTTGCAAGATAAACTTATCCTGTCTTAATTGCATTGTGGATCTTTCTTTGTATCGTTCACTTTTGGAAACATTGTTTTCAGTACCATACCATTCAATGAAATCTATGCAGTTCTGCACCTTTACTGTTACCAGAGATGCCACTGTGAAGTGTTTACCATTCAGTCCATTTGGCCATTAAGTATGGCACCTTTTTATTTCCTCTATTTGTCATTGACATTGGTCTGCAGCAACCAGATTCAAAGACTGCCAACAGGTGAACAGTAGTGTCATTGTGTCAGCTTCTCCATGCGAGCGGTCAGATAGACTTCTTTGCTGCTCTGCTTTGATGACTGCCAAGAGACAATGCCCCTACTGGTGGCTTTGATTTCCTTTCATCTCTATGTTCGGTTCGGTCAGCCTGTCTGCTTGGTACAAACCTCGCCTACTTGTTCCTTGATGCACTATGTGTAACATGATGCCTATGATTGATCAGGGGATCAGCACTTAATATGTGAATCAATGTCAATTAGGGTAATATCTGCACATGCATCCCACTATGTATGATTATATATCATGGCTACAATTCCTTGACAGAACTTTTTACTAGTGAAACATGTTACTTTGTATGATGCATTTAGGTTCCATTACCGTGCCACATATATGAATACTAAGCAAAGGAGATATATGGTATGTGATCCATAGAGTAATGCATATTGTCAATATACACAGCTACCAAAAATTTCATCATTTTTGTCATCCGCCTTACATAGCGCTTCTTCTTCACCCAGCAGTAGCAAAGGAGTGATTAGATGGAAAACAAGAGGAAATGGCTAGAGTCGGAAAGTTGCTTACATTGTCTCGGTGGAGTTGTTAACAATATCATGTAGGTGAACTATTTAGATGGTGGAGATGGTCGCTCAGGCGTAATGGGTAGAAGTGATGTGCGATCATGCTTGCTAGTAACTGGATTAACAACCCTTTGGCGACTCTCTCGATTTGTTCTTAGCTGGCACATCTCATCTAGGGCATTTTGCGTGGCAAATTGAGCTAAAGTATACCAGTGAAATATACGTACAAGATGGAGAAATGGTTATTTAAAGTAAAAAATGTTGGATGATACAAGATGAACAGCATTTTCCGGTTGAATCTGAAAGTTTAGGGCCTTTGGAAGATAGGAAATACATGACTCGTGTTGGAATTTCACAGAAAATTTTAGTTCATTTTTCAGAGTACAAATGCAAGAAACAGAAAAAAAAAATCGTGTATTCAAAAGGAAGAGTCGGGACCGTCCGAAG